GAGGCGATTGGCCGAGGTGTTCTGTCCTGGCGGAGCGAGCGTCGTCGTAGCCGTGTGGCGGAGTGGAGGCGGGGCGGGGGGAGCGGCTGAGGGACCGCGGGGAGCGGGACATGAACACCAGAAAACGCAGCGCTGGGACGGGAGAGTCCAGTCAAGGGCAGGAAAGGCGGTGCAGTGTCCCCATCCTCCTCCCGTTCCGCTAAATGACGTCCTCCACAGCCCTGCTCCTTCACCAGCTCTGGGCTCTCAGTAGGCATTGAACAATCTCGTGGTTCCCAGAGGCTCTGAGGAATGGCGGTACAATTCCCTATAAAGATCTGCTTGGTAGTGAGAACGGAGGGGGTGAACTTCAAAGAGATACGTGTTACTCTCGAGTTGATACTGACCTGAGCTGCTCACTAGACCTCAGAAATCCCCTCTTGTTTTCTTTTTTCTTCCTTCCATATGTGAACTGCTGTTTAAGAAGATGGAATTAGGCAAACTTTCGCTCTGGAAATTAACCAAGAAACTGACATTTGGTGGACCCAGCAATCTGAGAATAGGCCTGGCCATTTATGGAATTAGTGAGGTGGTACAGAGGGAAAACAAAACAGAAAAAAGCAAAAGACAATCCCAAAACAGCAGTAGCTTAAATGTTTTCATTTGTCAGGAAAACAAGAAGGACCCTACTCTTGTTAACCTTTAGAGAATCTCCAAAGAAGTAATTGAAGAAAGATTGAGACATATATATGTGTGTGGAAGTTTTTGTGTGTAAGAAACACATGGATTTCCATATTGATTCAGTTAATGAAATGAAAGAAATATTCTTCAAACATTGTCTGTGTGGGTTCTTCAATTTCCTAGACATAGGCTATCACTGGTGGGGATCTGTTATGACTGCCATGCTCTTTGAGAACAAGAGGGGAAGCCAGCCAGAAGTCCCTTTTTTCCCCAGCAGACTGGATAAGGAAAAGTACCTTTTGGGAATTTTTCATCACCTTTGATGCTTCCTTTGGATTATTTTGGCCATGTTTGAAATAAATTTCTGTTTTAACAGTAATATATTTCTAATTTCTCTTTTAGGAAGTGAATTTTCACCTGACCTTCATCTGACCCAGATTATGGTATTAGATGAGGTATTAGATACATTCCTATCCAGCAACAGCATCAAAAGTCTTATTAAAGCCACCATATCTACTGCTTCTTTATCCACCCTAAGCCTGTTATCCTGTGTATGATTAGACAGTGGAATTCAGCCACTGCAGCGATTAAGAAAAGTGTTCAAGGGAAAATCTAGAAACTAGTTGGCTTACAAACTATCCATATGTGCTAGTTATTGCTAATAAAGATTATAAGGAATGTGAGACATCTTCTTGTTGAAGAGACCATTACACTGTAGTCAGTGGGGGTAGATTCATCCTCCAACACTTCTTTGTGGTTTTGTTTGGTTTGGGTCTTGTTTTTACCTTCTTAATCTTAGGTGCTTATGTCATCTGGGACAGATACTAGACTGGGCCACAGATCAAGTCTGGGGTAATTCCTTTGTCTCCTGTTTCTCATCATGTGGATTCTTTCATTTCTGACGGGGTTCTTGGAGCATTTCTTGTCCTGTCCTGCATTCCAGTGTTATCAGAATGCATCTCTCTTCCTGTGTAATTGAATCAGCATAACTAATTAAATGTAATTATCCCCAGTTAAAATGAATGCATTACTATTGCTCTAATTCCACTGTCTTAAATGGAATTAAATGAGACTGTGCTGTAAACGCATTTTTCTCTTAATGTGTCTCTCTTCTTCAAAAGAGTTGTCTGATTTCAGTTTTTATTTGGCACAACTAGTGAGTGCTGTTTGGTCTGTTTCTTACACATTCCTCATGGCTGGTGTCATAGCAGGGGAATAGTTATGAGGACAGTGAATAGCCTGGCTCCATGGAATCCATGGAAATTTCTGCTGGCACAAGTAAAGAAGAAACACAGGGTGAGAACTTATTTGGTGACTTCAAGAAAGTCAAATAACTGAGAATAGGTAAGGAAATATTAATGTCTGTTTTCTCTCAGGTTTCTGGCTGATAGAAGGAAAATAGAGTTGTTTCTGTTTGTCTGCCCCTCACTCATGGTGCTAATATACCTACCTGATTTAATGACTGGCTACTGATGGAAGGGGCTTTTTGCTCTTCTCCCTTGATTTACACCTGTGCATTCCTGCCCTGTCAGCAGGGGCACTCATCTGTACCAGTGAGCTAAATTGGTAGGAAAGTAACAATATAAATGGAAGTGTATGTGTTTAGCTCTCTAAACTGCCTCAGGTTTGGGTCAGATCAGCTGAAGAAATAGAGAAGAATTGCTGGTGGAAGGGAAGGAATGGGGAAAGCCATTTTCACTGGCAGCTGGCTGTTAATTAATTAGTCTAATCTCTGTAGTAAGGTGAAGGGCATAACATTCTAAGCTGCATGGATAAATCCTCTTTTCTGCATGTTGTCCCTGCCCTTGTACAGTAGAAGTGCTTTGGAAACAAGGCAATCAGGGCTAAAGTAGGAGAGATTATTTGTGACCTGAATCAGGTTTCCCAATCCAGTGCATCTGAGATAATGCTGGGCTGACAGACTAAAGAGGTCACTGCAGGGTCAGTTTGTGGCCAGAGCTGGCCTCTTTCCTGAAGGGCTTCCTGACCTGTGCTGACTTGTTGGCCTCTAGGAAACAGAGGGGTAACCTCAGGGTGAGTCCTTAGAGCTGGATGAGTGCTGTATCCTTGAGTGACCAGTGTCCCTTCATTCTTTCACAACAGCAGTGAAGGGAATGTGGCTTGATGTTTATCAGGTTCAATTTTGCACAGGCACTTTTAGATCTGTAATGGCAACAAACCTTTAAAATATTTATCATCTGTTATTCTGTTTCATCTTTACCACGGTAGCATTAGAATTGGAATGGCAGCCCTAAAGTAAGTTTGGTTGACAGTTGTAAAATGTTCTAAATAATCACTAAGACCTAACTGTTCTGGATTAAATTTTAGCCATAGTGGGAATCCTGCTCTTTGTGGTTTGGAGAGTTAACCCAAGGATTTCACAGGATGCTAAAAAATTTAAGGTTTAACTCTGTTTGCTTATGAACAAGTTATTTGTGTGTGGTTTGGTTGTTCTTTATTTGGTTGAAATCTGTTGTTTGTGCACAGATACTCATGGTCAAGTAGACAATTTGTGAGTTTCACAGTATTTCCCACTGTGCAAATGTGAGGTGCTTATTGCATTGTGTCATGCCTCAGTAATATTCCAAATGGACAGGGTACTGGGGAGATGATATAAGAATGTCACTGAAATAATACATGGAAATTCTTCCTCCTTAGGATTCTTAATGTGCTTAGCAATGTGCATGGCTTCTCTTAACTTTTAATGCTCTTGAAGCAAAGGAAATAAATGCTTTGAGCAAACTGCAAATCAGTTTAGTCTGAACTCAGTAGTTTTTTCTGCTGAATGGTGGAACAAATCCTCTTTATATTCATTCCCTGGTAATAACTGGTGCCACAGAAGTATTCTGGGATGTTTTTTAATAACCTTGAGCAGATACATGGAAGAGAGGAGAGAAGTTTCTTGTGGATCCAGATCAATGATTCCCTGTAGTAGGATAAAGGCTTGTTTAAAAGACTAGACATGGATGAACTGGGCTTACAGGCCATTTCTGAGAGGGATTTAATACAGTGCACGAGTTCATATTGTCAATAGTTGCATTTTGGGTAGTTCTGTGATGTGAGATTGTATAACTGGAAGAATGACTCTGATGTTCATTGGGAAGGAGCAGCTTCTGGTAGTTTACAATGCTTTTGTTTCATGACCAGTTTTCTTCTTCTTCTTTGCCTTTACGAGGAGGAGAAGTAAAAATCAGTAGCAGAGGAATTCAACACTGCACAGCAAGAAAAGGAGGCCATCAGGTTTGATACAGAAAATCCTCTTAAGGACACACCAAAGGGAACATCCAAAGAGTCCATGTTTAGTGAACAGTAAAACAGGTGGAAAGGATCAGACAGCAGTATTATATCTATGGTTTTTAAATTGAAAGTGCTCTACCATTATGCTACAGCTGTATGTAATTCTCCAGGGTAATTCTACAGCCCCAGCCTGTGCCTGACCATTCTTTTTTTTTTTTCCACTCAGAGAAGGATCTATATCAATATAGTTGCTTTTGTTGCAGCAAGAGATTCCTCTTGAATATCCTCTTTCCACGTCTTTCTGTATTTTTCTAGGGCTTTAGAAGATTTTCAGTGAACAGGTGTTGTGTACTATGAAAGCGAGTAGGTCAGGGCTTTTATGGGAAGTCAGACCTACAGATTGAATGTTTTTATGCAGGGATTTAATGTGTGCTAATGGCCCTGATGAGGCCATGCCATACAGATCTGCTCATCTGGAAAGAAGCTGTGTGTCCCACTGCAAGGAAAGCAGGTAGGTTTGGTATAAGACATTGAGAAGGCCAAGATTCAAAACTGCTGAAAATTTCTGTTATTCTTTGACAGACTGTGTGGTCATAGATTCACAGAATGGTTGAGGTTGGAAGAGACCTTAAGATCATCGAGTTCCAAGTCTCTGCCATGGCAGAGGTACCTGTCACTATATAGCAGATTGATCACAGCCCCATCCAGCTTGACCAGCTTGGACACTTCCAGGGATGTCCACAACTTCTCTGGGCAACCTGTTCTGGTACCTCATCACCCTCACAGTTAAGAATTTCCTCCTGATATATAATCTAAACCTGACTTTTTTTGGTATAAAGTCATCATCCCCTTGTCCTAACACCACATACCCATGTAAAAAGTCCCTTTCCAACTCTTTTGTAGGCCCCTTTAGGCAGTGGGCTGCTGCTGGATATCTCCCTTGGAGCCTTCTTTTCTCCAGGCCAAACAACCCCCCCCCCCCCCCCCCCCCTCAGCTTCTCTCAGCACAGGAGAGGTGCTCCAGCCCTCTGATCCTCTTTGTAGCCCTCTGGACTCACTCCAGCAGGTCCCTATTGTGCTGATGGGAGCCCCAGAGCTGCATGCAGTAGTCCAGGTGGGGTCTCAGGAGAGTCAAGGAGAGGGAGAGAATCACATCTCTCAACTCACTGTATGCATCTCATTTTTTTGTCAGATACCTCCTTTTTCTACCCTTCATTTGACTTGTTTATTTGGATAAAATAACTATAAATTCTCTGTTGCCTGGACAACAGCTTGTTGTTGACAACCTTGATGTTAGCCTGTAAGCATTGCTCTAACATAAGCAGCCAATTCACAGAGAGAAATAATGGCAAGAAGATGAAATAAAAGGAAAAGTCATAATGAAAAAATACATGAAAGAGCAAGACAGTATTGTCTATGCATGTGTTGGAAAACCAAGGTTTCTGTATGTTAAGTTAAAAGCTTTCTTATTAATATCTGGAATTTCAAAGGATATCCTGATATAATGTCCAAGGCTTCATGTTGAGAAAATGGCAAAGTTGTTTGTTTTTTTTTTTTTTCCTAAAACCAGTATCGGTTGATTCTGTAAGTAAACATGTGTTCCTTTTGCTGCAGTGATATAATTCTCTGTATCTACTTTGCTTTTAAGGAAAAGAGTTTTTAACCCCATCATGATAATAATGATACACAATGCCTGATCAGGACAAGAAGTTGAAGAGCACAGAAAAAGCACTAAAAACAAAAGCCTCCTGGGATCTCTATGAGGTGTAGTATCTGATGTTTTACTTTGAACTTCAGTGGGACTCGTGTGGAATTTACACTGGCTGCCAAAGCAGAATGCTTCAATTTGAAGTGCAGTATAAACATGACAACTGTTACTCTGGTCACAAAGTTTATTTACACCTATGTTGACTTAAGGCATTCTGGAGAAGCTGTGAATTCTTCTGTACGCAAAAGTGGACACCAGGCAACGCTAGAAAACTTTATTTTCTGTCAGTAGCATTGTTGCTTGTTGACCTTTTTTACACTTATGGAAATACTTTTATGTAACTATTAACACACACTGTTGTGGTTTTTTCCTAGGGATTATTCTGATCTAAAAAGGCTTCAGTCTCTCTTAAGTGTTCAGTCAAGGAACTAACAGGTATTTTTCAATAACTGTTATTAAATGTGCTTTAGAATTATAATTTATGGTGATTATGGTTTCTGGCATATGCTTAGAAGATTAAGTACTATAGTGAATAAAACATGTTAGCAAAGTCTTGAATAGAAGATGTCTTTCATCTTGTCTCTTTTTTCTTGGCAACATTAGACCTTCCATGTGGCACAAATCACATTTAGAATGGGTAAAAGAACGAAACTGATCCATTTCCCATTCTACTATACCATATTTTTTATTTTAACAGGAAAAAATTAAAATTGCTTTATTTTGTATCTTGAGCAGGTTTTATCCAGCTATTGTTGCATATATTAAAGTAGCATAGCAGATTTTTTTTCCTCTGTGCCCTTTCACAATGTCACACGAAGGTACGCTTAAAGATGTGTGAGTAACAGCATGGGGGAGAGTGGTACAGAATATAAAATAAGATCGGCATTTTAACCTTAAACAATTTGTCTTTGAAGAATAACACCTCAGCTAAAAATATCCAGGGCTTAAATACCAACTTACAGGAGAAAGTCAAATCTCCTTCACCTCAGCTCACTTAGTAAAGCTTGTATTTGCCATTTGAAGCAAAGAAAACCAACACATGATTTTGGGTGTGAGTCTTTGGAATCACAGAACATTTTCTCCCTTTCAATTCTGTAAAAAGATATGACAGAATGACTAAAGGATTCATCCATGTGAGGTAGGAGTTATGCACTTTCTACCTGGTTAGAGGCCTGGAATTGCTTCTGAGCAGAAAGCTGAAACATGTGAGTTGTACAACCTAAAAAGAATGTGAAGGCTGTGCAGTTGTGGAGTTGGGACAGGTAAGAAACACAGATAACGAGCATGTGTTGCAGATTTTGTCAAGCTTTGATATCATAAATTTAAAAAGATGTCCTTCTTCACCTTTTACTTACCTCTCAGTACTTGTTTTTCAGTCTTGCTTTGCATCCGTTTTCCTCCACGTCAGTGTTGTTTTCCAGAGGAGGTGTGTGTATTCTAGAATGGCAAGTTGTAGGTCCAAAGTTCAAGTCAGAACTTGAGAAAATGTACTTTGGCATGATAATATTCTCAGAAAACTTAAATTGCAGCATTTGGCTCATGACTACTATCCCTTCCCTCTTTAGCTTCCAGCTATGTATATTGAAAGTGGTCAAACCACTGTGACAAGAACTTGGCAAAATGTCAAAGGCGATGAACAGCAGTCCAATGGTCAATGCCAAGAATCAACAGAAGCTGTTGAGCTTGAGAAATTTAGGTAAAAATAATTTAAAGCTGATGATGACACTCTCATATCCCTGAACGAGAGATACCTTTATGTATCTAAGGGTATTGAAGGCATTTGTATTTTTACAAATGTACTATTTACTTGTACTTTTCATGTTAATCCAGAATTTGAGATGAGAATTACGTACTTCTAATTTTTAAACCTGTTTATGTTCCTGCTTTTGTAAGTTTCAACCTTTCCCACTCAGCAGAGTATACTAGTGAGAGTTAATAAACTCATTTAAAATGTGATCTTTTCTTTATTTGGAAAAGTTATACCATTCTGATAGTCCCAATGCATGAGACAGACTGTTAATGTCTGGCAATCTGAAATAGTTTTATTCTGTGGTAACTGCTGGTATGACATTTCTTAGTTTTTGTTGCTAATGTTAAGTTGTAGCAGAGCAAAACTGTCTTGTGGCAAGTTAATTTGTAATTCACCATTTTTCTTTTTTTCTTTCTTTTAAGTGTGACCTACAAGAATGAGAGAAATTTTAGCAAGCATCCCAAGCATCAGCTGTTTCAAGATATCTTTACAACTTTAGTTAAGGACAGACTTACCTGCAGATCAGTATATGAAACACATTCATAACCAAGAAGGCAGGCTACTTTCTTGCCTTCCATGAAGAAGCAAGATGCATGGATAATATCCCATATTGCTACAACACACCTTTCTGTGGGAATTACCAGCAGCACTTGTGGTTGTTTTAATTAACCACTTGTGTATTGGCTTTGAGGAGCCATGCCCAGGTTAGTGGGACAGAAGAACACAGGACTGGGTATATGACAAAACTTGACCAAAATTCTAACTGCTATGTTTTCTTGATCATTCATCTGTATATGATGTCTGTAATCTGTGATTTGCTTCTCTAATTTATTGTAATGATTCTGTTTGTATTTTATGGTCTGCTCCCTTTATGGTGAAAGGCCTGTGGTTTCCATAAAATTCAGATGAGTTGATGCCACTTGTTTGTGTTTATTTGTATTTCTGTGTATGACAGGTTTGGAAAGGGTAATACCTTTTCTTATGCTGCTCTCATTTATGTGAGGAATAAGTACAGGAGCTTACAAAAATAGAGGGGGCAGAGAAAGATATTTTCAGGGGAAAAAAAGTATTTTCCAGGATTTTTTTACTATACTCCTTTGCAGTTTATTGTATTTTCCTTTTTAAAGCCCAAATACATTTTCTAAAAAATGTACCACCTTAAGTGGTACAGAAGTTTAAAGATGGAATGCTAGAGCATTTAAAGGTATTAATATATTACTACTACAGGAATCTAAAAACACCACATGGTCTGCTTAGACCTTTATTCACAACCAGCTGGGGAACTAGGGGTGTCTTCTTTGATTATCTAAATGACAGTGAGTTTAAAACAGATTATTTAAGTGATTTTTAAATCTCGTACCTCTTTTTCACATGTGAACTCAGTATTCACCAGTGGGAAGTCAGTGGCTCAGCTTCATTTGCCAGAAATCCAAGAACAGCTTACACTGTGATTTCCCAAGTTCTGTTTATACATTGTGACATACTTGGCCTATATTTTGGTTTTCTTTGGGGTTCTTTGTGATAGTGATATGGCAAAACAAGCCTCTTGTATTAAGAATGAAAGCACCCAGGCAAGGTTGGTGAAACCAGCATAAATTAGTAGATATGTAGATAAGCTGGATATACCCTGGTGTGTCTAGTAATGTGTGTTGTAAATGTAACTGTAGTCGAAGGGGCTCTCAAATGTTAATCAGGCTCAGGGAGTGACTATCGACCATGGTTATATCTTCAGGCCACTTTAAAATCTGACCTACAAATTTTGCACGCAGGTATATGGTTGCTGTTTTCTTTCCATGAAAGTTTTGTGCTGTTCTGAAGCAGCCAATTATGGACTCATAATGATAAATGGTATTACTAGGGCAGAATATTGGCATAAAAGGGCTGAGAGTTTGTTAGCATCTATTTGTAAAACATTTATTTTTATGGAATTATTTTTAGCTGTTGGCGTCATTCCCAACTGCAAATGATGAAATGGGAAGAGAACTGCTATGACCCATACACTTTTTCTGTTTCCAAGAAACCTATCCAAACAAATTTTTCCTCTCAGTTAAAACAGCAACAAAAAATGCATGGCAAAGATGTCTAATTTTAGGTTTATTTTAAATAGGGAAATGGGGATATATACTTTCAACAGGCAATGGAAATAGTGATTCCATTACTGGTGTTTTATGCGGGATTACTGCCCCTGGACACTTTCTGCAAATCTGATTTGTATTTTCTGCCATGTCTTATGCTGGTGAATCATGTGGAGAAATATAAAGGAGGAAGTTCTATATCAAAATACAATCCTATTTCAAGAACATTTGAACTAAATAACAATTTATTTCTAGCATAATACAATTTGAGTTTTTAAAAGCCAGGATAGATTATGATAATTCAAAAGAATATTTTAAATATAGCTATTTTTACTTCTGTAGCACCCATATTTTTGCATAAGTGTATTTTGTGCACTGAAGTTTGCTCTGTGGTTTCTCATTTACTTTGCTCTTTTGGGCCTCAATTCAACAACTAAAAGTTTATATCAAAGCACAGTTAGTTTGTTCTTATAGATGAGCTTGTACTTTCCCTCATCCAATGATAATAAAAAGTCCAATGATAATATGTGATGGCTGGTAATGCTCATATAATGTAATAAATTTATTTATAGCTGCCACTGTGTTTCAGTATAAATGGTATTAAAAGTTCTATGGTATAGTATGTCGAACAGTTGTTGTAGCTCACTAATCATCTAGTCAATTGATCCTGAATCAAACTGTTTTATTTAAGTATTTAAACACTTTTAAAATTGCATTTGGTTTATGTTTTGAATATTTAATTTACAGGCAATGGGTTATTCAAGCTCCGTGCATGCATTTTCTTAGATCTTATTAATCTGCCTGAGATTATTAATAAGACATCCATGATACCAGGTCAGTATGTCAAAATGTTTCTTGCTTGGATAAGGGGATGCTTGTAAGTGTCACGTGTACGGTTGTGTTGGTGCTTGTGTATAAAAACATTTGTTCTTATGAATGCACACATACATGTGTGTATCTATATTTCTGTATGTGAGGATGGGAATTGCAAACAAACTGATTTCAAGGGTGGTTTTAAACCATTACTGTATTACTTGCTCAATTTCTGTTGTTCCTTATGTCGTGTCTGTTGTTGCTGACCCTAACAAGGAAACTGTAAATCTCCATAACAGATGGCTCGGTCATTGCTCTGAGCCCTAGACTTGGTATTTGACTTTATCATAAAGATATGTAAAATTCCCATAATGTATTTACTAAAGGAAACTGAAAGCTCCAGTTTAAGAACCTTTAACATTCCACCTCTGTGCTTTTATTTATCTACTTATTATAAGTAATTCTGACCTTTTTTTTTTTTTTTTTTTAATTTTCCTGTAGAAAATGCTCCACAGCCTGGGCGGAATTGAAAATCTAGGTCAGGTAGAATTCCTCATAGTACCTTTGTCCATTATGTTGCCTGTCAGTTTATTATGATTAAAATGCTATATACTGTAAAAAGCAGTGTACAGATATTCTTTGTTTATGGAAAGAAGTGAGTCTGTTTCTCTGCTTTCACATGAGAAGTTGGTGTGTGTTTTTTCACTAGTTTTCAAAACAACTGTCCTATAATCTAGGTGCATTCATCTAGAATTTCTAGTTAGGAGACTTAAGAAATGCCTCATGAAGTGGGAGAAGAATTAGAAAAGTCAACGCAATTGGTTCAGTCAAAAGAAATTGTAGACTTTTGAAGGGAGATGAGCAAAATCACCCTGCACTGTAGCAAATGACTTTTCAAAGGGAGAAGCATACTGATAATTTCTTTTTAAAATGTTGAAACAGGTTTAAACCTTGTGGCTGCACTACTATTGCATTACAGAATTTTTTTTCATGAAACAGATGCACCACCTACAGGCTCTCCCTGTGAAGAGCAGTCTAGGTTTATGAAGTCTGCAAACTTTTTTGCCTTAATGGTATCCTTTATTTTTCCTCCCCTTCTTGTAGTGTATGGAAACAGTAGCAAATGGTTATCTTAATTACAGAGAAGAGCAGCACAATGTAGACAAGTTGGTCAACATGACATGTAGGTGCAGTAGCTGATAACAGAAATCATAAGGCTACCCACAACTTTTTGTGTGAGGCTTAAAATGTTTAAAGTACTTCAGGTTGTCATTAAGTAAGACAGTAGTATATTTACTGTAGGCATCATCACATGAGTAAAAGCTAAAATTCCTGTAGAAGGGAGCAGCTTGTTTTTCTACATAAGTAATATTTCTTTAAGAAATTAGTATCTTTTTATGCATTGAAATAAAAGAGTAAATCGTGCTAGTTATGGTTCAAAGAAGTTATACAAAGAAGTTATCTGACTAAAAATAAAAATAAAAATATTAGTGAGAAGAGTCATTTTGTGTGTCTTCCTTTGTTCCATAGATATTTTCCAAAAGCTTGCTGCTGTTAGAAATCAAAGAGAATAAGTTATAACAAGTGGAGCACATAAAGCAAGTGCTTTATAAAATTGTTAATTTTATTTAATTAGCTACTTAATAAAATAGCGCATGCTTTACAGATTTGACCTAGGTGGGAAAAAATTCCTTACCTTGTCAGTCTTGTAAGGTAAGATAATCTCTGTGTTTTACAGATGTATTAATAGTATCATAAAAAGAAGTTCTTCTCTGTAAGTTAATTGGTCTGATGTATGATTATTGGCTGTTTGAGATAAACAGATTGTAAACATTTGGACTAAACATTTGTTCTATAAAAAGTAGTGCTCCTGTATACACTGTCCTGAGCTACACCTTACTGTGATTCAAATAGTTTTATATATTTTTAAAATGTAAATATATTTTAAAATTTTCTTGCACAAATTTCTGCTGTGGTTTTTCACTTGTAAAGTGTTCTGTGTCTAAATATTCTGTGTCAACCCAGACATCCCTTGCTATATATTACCATCAGTCTAAGAATCTGTACTTGACTATTGCTGGTTTGTGGCTAAACTCAGATACAGTTGAGATCAAAATCAGTATAACTAGGGTTTCATGATTCTATCATGCTGCAGAAAAACAAAGGCAATTGTGATCATATAGTAGCAGACAACCTATTTTTAGAGAATCTAGACAAATACAGAGTTTACTTAGATGTTAATCATGAACAGAAATACAGACAGGGCCTTAAATTACTGTGCTGTTTAAATATAAGCTGAATATTAACTTTTACTTCAGGAGGCCTGAGTTAGTGTTCTGAAGTGTTACACAAAACCAAATTTTTACACTGGTGTAATAGAGACATTTTAGCAGTCAAAGAGATACTAATTGTAGTTTGAGAAGAAACATCCTTGCTTGTCCTACTGGGTGTATTCTAAGATTTTAGGTGTATATTTAAGTGTACTTTAAATGTACCTAAGACTTTTAACATATTGTGTAAGGACTTGGTACCTGAATTTTTACTTTTCATTAAATATTTCTATATGTTTCTGAGTTGTAAAATAAAGTAATATACTTTATATTTACACACAATCACACATTTACTTACCTTTTTTCATTTTTTTTTCCAGACCTTAGTAAATTTATTATCTGCCAGAGACAGTTATGTGTTTTTTGGTGCCCTCCTTGCTCTGACTAGCTTAGTAGAATGGTAGGTTCAACTTAATGTGCCATAAATAACAAAAGCTTTTTAATGTTTTCTCTTGACAGAATATTAAAACTGCTCTTTATGAGGAAAACTTAAATGTTCTTAATTTTATATTGAAGCAATAGAAACTAAATAGAAACTTTGGTCCTTGCAGCAGACTTCTTGTTCATGTGGGTGGGTCTGCAATACTGGAATCACAGAATCTGTTTTTTTAATCCTCATGCAGGATTCTTGAATTCCTATTGACTTCCTGCATATAAAAATCTTCTGTCCTCAGCTTAATATAACAGTGCCTCACAATAATCAGGTAGAATATTGTTCAGTGTAGTAAATAATAAAGTCATACAGTCAAATCCATGTAAATGTGCCCTCTTCTCATTAATTAGTGGTAAATAAAGATTAAAAGAGAAAAGAGGAGCAAAAAGGGGAGACAGAGCAACTTTCATCTATAATGGTATTATAGAAGAAAAACTGCTGTTATTGATTTGCTGTCTCCCAGACTTCCCAAAACTCTGATTCAGTTTAATTTGTTTTTAATATCTATGTTAATTTAAATGATGTTATGCATACATTTTCAACTTCCATTTAACTTTCTTCACTGAATGGAATGTAGGATTTTGTGTTACATTTGGACTGGGCAAGAAAGAGTTTGAGCTATATTACAAATCTTCATAGAAATTGTGGTTGTTTTTAAAAATGCACTCCATTTGCTTAATTATCAGTAAGACACAAAATATAGTTGTCTTTACTTTTATGCATTCAAATTTACTTTTTTTTGTACTGGGAGAACTGGAAAATTGTTGCACTGTTACTATTGATCCAGCATATATTTGTGGCTTTAAGTGCTTGTGTGCACAAGTTGATCTTATTACTTAAGACTTGGGGGAAAAATAATTCATCCAATGCACAAAGAAGGAGTCTAAAGAGCAATATGTGTTTTTCATATAATTTCATCTGATTTAAATGTCAGGAATAATCAATTTGTAGTCCAGAATGTAGGGAGGAGATAAGTGTGATTGTTGAGAACTTGCTGGTGATATTACTTGAATATGATTTTCTAACAGGTGAGACTTTTTGTGTGGATTAATTGTGTTAAAATAAATTTTGACCTTTTTTATTTAAGGATGCATGTATTTAGAGGAATTAGAAAATGTGGCACTTGAATATACCCAAGGTCAAATTCTGAAACCTGAGTTTTTTCAGTCACATCCTGATATAGCAAAATCTTTTCCAGCAGTTTCATTGTAATCCATCTTCTCTCTCTCCACTGTTGGCCTCCAGTTGCAAATGAGTTACAATGTTATCATAAAATGATTGCAATCACTTTTCTTGATCCATCTCTTCCTTGCTCCTGGCAGACCTGAGTGGTTAGATGGGAAAGCATGCTGGGCCCTGACAGTTCCTGGGATGCTCAATATGAATGAGTGAAATTGCAGGACCTAGAGCTGCTGTAGTCTATGCCAGAGGCTGAGTCAGATCCCACATCCTCTTCATCAGAAAATCATCAATGTTCCTTCAATTGTTTAATCATCTCAGCTAAGACTGCTAGCAAAGCATTACTGAATTTCAGTGAGAAACAGAAAGACTTTCAAATTTGATAATACATCACTTATCACCTTTAAAATTCTGAAGAGGTTTTTAAAATTTCATGCTTAACTATTTCACACATATAAGTGACCTTATATGTGACTAAGAATAGACAAAATTAATATATGAAAAGGTTTTCTTTAGTTTCTGTATTTGAAAATTCTGGGTTATATGTAAATCAGAAGTTAGATGTAAAAGTTAGAATTTGAATGTAGACAAGAAGATGATGAAGTTCAATGCCAGTTAAGGATAATTTTAAATTCAGATGTGAATCTAAATTCCCATGTTTCATTAAACACAAATGGAGCTTTTTTGCTTAAAGTGGAAATGGATATCCTTAACCATATTTTCTATGTGAAGTCCACCTTCATTGCATTTAATGAAAGTCTTAAATAAACCTTTTAAGTTATATCTCCAATCACTTTCTAAATATAATATTCAAATTATACTAGAGAAGAATGATGCATTTTTGTGTTATCTGTGGAACTAGGCTATTTGAGTTCCACAGATGGACTTTACAAATTCATGCAGTCAGTGCTACTTGTACTACTAATGTCATTAATAAGAAGATGGTAGCACAGATGGCTGCAGCCCACTTGGCCACCTCCCATCCTAGCTGGGGATGCCTGGTTGACTTTAACTGGGTTGCAGTGACTTTAAGTTGTTTTCTTTAACTGTTTTTTTTTTTTTTTAATAGGAAATCTCTGCTCGTTTTTAAACTTCCTGTGGCTTTTCCCCCTTTTCTACCTGACATCACAAAGTAATGATGGAGTTATTGAAATTTCTTACTGATTTTTTTTTTTTGGTTCACAACAGAGTTGCTATGACTCCTTTGTGCAGAGTCATGAGTCAAAAAGTAAATAAAAATGAATGAAGGAGTTCCAGTCTTGCTCAGTTTGCTCCATTCTGATCACATCAGACTTCTATGGAGTATAGTTTGGATTCTGGTACAGGTTTGTGAAGATCCTGAGACTAGTGTGGAAATTTGGATCTGGGGTAGAATCAAGCAGCTCCTTCATATGTTACAGGAGCAGGTTTTCAGTCCTCAGCATTGTGGCAATTGTACAAGACTGTTTGTTCTTTTGAGATATATTTGACCAAGCCCTGTTTTATCAAAGAGCATCTTTGGCTTTTTCAGCTGTATGTGATGCCAGCAAAATTTAAAAGACTATTTAGAACATAATGAATAAGCAATATTTCTCCAGCCTTTTGTATTTCATTGTTATCCTAAGGTGTTTTTCATATTTTTAATGTATAAACTAAATAATGAATAAGTGATAAATATGGCATTACTGTCTGTTTAGTTTTCCAATTAATCAGACACCTATTTAGTGAGCTAGAATTGTGGATATAATTGATGAACATGGTAAAGGAATTTTCTGTTTAATGGCTTGTTTGCTTTTTCGAAGTGTATTAGCTAATTTAGTGAAAACATACAAATTTTCAGAACTTTGGGAATGGTTAACAAAGACATATTAAGCCATTTTTAACACTGCAACTTGATTTTTTTTTTTTTTTTTTTTTTTTTTTTTGTTTTGCTTTTTCTTTCAGGGAAAGAAATCTTGTATCTGATTCTTGTATCAAGCTCTTCAGTTGGAAGTTTATCTAGTGCAAATGCAGCAGGGAGAATCCAGTATCTTCATTTGTCAGATGGGCTGAGTCCTGATGAGATACAAGAAAATACTTTCTCACTTCAAGCAGGTAGGTTTATAAGGTCTAATACTCTGTTATGTCTTTACATACACTTGTGCAAAAGGATTTAAATACTACAAATTTGTAAATAATTATACCTGCTTTAGGGAGTAGGAGCATCAAATGGATTTGTTTATTTCCAAATGAGTGATACCAGGACTTATTTTCAAAAAGTATACTTTTGTTAGAAGGAAGCAAAGCATAAAGTATTAAGAATCTGGGAATCATATGTATTTCTTCACCTGTAAAAAGAGTGACAAAAAAGTTATTTATTTATTTAGTTAGTTAGTTAGTTTTGTGTTTAGCATGAAATTATTTGATCATATTTTTCTTCACTATTTAAATTTTCTATGAAATATCAATATGAATCAAATTATTTCAAAGTGGTATGTTAATGACTTGTATTCAGGTGAGGATTCATTTGTAGTTATGGAGCAAATTCCTTTCGGAGGAGATTTCTCAATAAAGTCAAATGGCCCTAAATGTTACTTCTGGATTTTTATTCTAGCTAATTGTGCTGCAATTACTGAACTAGTGGTCAATGAGACTAAGGCTTACCAGGTTATACAGGTAGGAAGATTTTATTCAGTAAAGTAAGGCATTATAGTTTATAATTTCACTTAATTGTTGTTCTTTGTTGTCATAATTTAAGAGATTGGAAATATGCCTGTCTATAACTTTAGTACTTTTGTTTCTTTATCATTTTACACACAGAGACACAGACACAAAGGTTATCAACATAGGTGTCTGGAAGAATAAACAGCTTTATTCAGACAAGGTTCATTTTGGCATCTCTTACCATGCTTTTGTCATATTCAAAATAGGATAGTAAATAAAAGTAATCACAGTATAAACTGGGAAATGCAAATTCTGAATTTATTGATGTTTATTACAAAAAAACTATGCAGCTGAAAATTGACATGTTGCTGTTTCACAAACTTTTTCTCTTTTTGTAAGAGTGTGGAGAGAACTTCCTGGCATTCTGTCTCCAGGGATAAACCATTCTTAAAATCCCTGGCTGTATTTCAGACCTGGTCAAAGATATAAATATTAAGGGCATTAATATCAGCTAAAAGCTGTAGCCAGCTGTTAAACTATAAATGTTAAATCAAAACCTTCAAGTTAGCTTAAAACCCAACTAGAAGTATTCCTGGAGGAACCAAGAGAACAAGAACCTTAAATATGAACAGGAAAGAAGTGTGTGAATATTTCAAAACCATTGGTTAAGAGAAAATAAAGGAAAGTAAGTCTAGAAAAAAAATATTATTTTTCCCCACTAGAATTGACAATAAACTGTACTGATTTAGACAACTTTTGTCTAAACAATATAATGATTTGTTTTATGCTGAGACTGATTTCAGTAAAATAAAATATCACTTGTTTAAATTAAATGGTTTTAACAGAGAGGTTTTCTGCATTGCCCCAGCAGTGCATGGTGACTGTTGTGTCAGTAAATCACTTAAAAATTGATGATACAATGTGCAGAGCTGGAAAAGGTGTTTCAAACTTAACTTCTTCTGCTCATTATGTTAAAAGACACAGACCTCTCCATTTGTTTAAACACCAGCCAACATCCCCTTTTCAAATCAGGACATAGCCTCAAGCATGATCATTTCAACTGGAGTCCCAGCCTCCAATACCACTAGAGTAATTTTAAATCCTACTTCTTTCTTTTTGCTAATATAACTTTATATATTAGTTATATATAATATAACTAATATAACTTGAGAGTTGCATGGTGAGCAAGGTGAAGCAACTCACTTGGGTTAAAAACAGAGGAAAAAGGTGTGCAGCTTTTTCAGTTATGTGCCAAGGAGGTCAATCTGAGTAACCTGTAAAGGTTTATATCATTGCTGTCAAAGGAATCTTGGGAACTTTTGCTTCTGCTGTAGCTGCTCTCTACCTGTCTGTCTGTCCTTGTCACAGCCTTGGCAACAGTCTGCAGTAATTCTGGTAGCAGACAGAATGTGTTTGACTCAATGGCTCTACTGCACAGCCCAAAACCTAAGCTTAACCATGGTCTAAGCTTAATTCTGTCTTCCTGAACAGAAGAAGAAAACGTCAGAAACTGCAGAAGGGCCTCTGCAGAGCTGACACATATTCCCTTCAAGTCTGGTAAAGAGGAGAGTAGCGTCCATCAGGGACCTTGTCAAGTAACTGGGAGCAGTACTCCAACTAAATCTGCCAGTGCCCACCTATCAGACCTACCAAGTGAATAGAATAGTGGAGGATACATGGTTGCATGAAAATGGAAGCTGAATTCAGTATGGTTTCCACAAAATTCTGGAGGTGTGGACAGACTTCTCAAGCTATTGCTTTTGGTGTTTCTCCAATTTATTTTTATTAAGACTTGAATTTTGTTCCTGACAATTCAAAATATGGTGCCACATGATGACAGGAGATCTATTGCTGCAATTTCCTTCACCTATAGAGATAGAAGCATTTCTTCTTTATCTGTTCACAGGCTCTCTTTGTGGTATCAGTTTAAATGTAACAATGATTTAATTCTTATACATGTTTAAGCTTATATTTTAGGTGTGCAATAGGATGTTGAGAACATGTCCATTGCTATTAGCTTCTGATTTATCTGAACATTGATTTTTATTTGTGGTTTGCATGCAAAGGGGCATTATTAATGCTGACCTCTTTCTGTTTCCAGGCAAATGCAATATATACAATAGCAAAGCTAATTTTATCAAAGAAATGAATGCTGAAAAAGCCAGTTTATTACAGGTAACTCCCTTTATTATCATTGTACAATGAAAGCCCCAACAGTCCCTGAGAATTTTTTTATGGATTAAAGTTTATTTTGAAGTACAGTAGAAAAAAATCATATTTAAAGGGGAGCCCTTACACCAAAACAATAGCCCAGGAACTGAAAGTTAAATAGAGACTCAATTTCTTTTCTGATTTACTTTGTTTCTGGCACCTCATATAGTGTAAAGGAAAGTCAATATTTTTCTTGTGATAATCTTTCCTCTACTTTTTCAGGCTGTCTAGCATCAGACTTTTATAGAGCCTTGATCTTCATTGAAACTTGCCCTAGACTTGACACTCTACTAATATCTGTTTATTTCTGGAGCGTTTTTCTGTGGATGTTAAATAATATATATGAAGGCAGTGTATAAAATAGAGAAAAATTTAAGTGTAGAATAAATATAGGCCAAATAAGCATAGAATGCCTCTTGGTTTTGCATGTCATTATCCCTGTAAATGTACTGGTTAGAGTCAGCTTAGGCTAAAGGTCATCAGTAGTAATTAATTACCTGGTAGCTTTTCTCAGGCTCTGTGCAGTGGTGAGTGTTTCTCTAAGATATGGGAATGTAGTGCTCAGGGGTTCAGGGATTGTGGATTCTCTGTATTTTCCACCTCTGTCAAGGTCAGGATTGAAGGCACTTGAGGCAGTATTTCATGTTCAGACTCAGGTATTTATTATTTTTTATCACTGTAACAGCCTCACAACCATGAGTCCTGCAGCCTTCATTAGCAAGGCACAAAATGGCTAACTATCTCTTGTTCCAATGTCTTTTAAGACTAAACTATCCAATTAAGAAATGACACCTAGATTATTTTCCTTTTCAACCCAATAACTGATCCCTCAAAGCCCGCAATGTGGACTTTTCTGTCCAATTACAAAATACCACCCAAACCCATAAAGAAGAAGGTGAAGAAGAACAACCTGCCTCCACCCTAAAATCTCCATCTTGCTTCATATTTATTACTATATTCTAAAACCCCAAACTTTAAGTTTTCCACCCTGTGATATTGCACACTTCCAACCAACTGCACACCTGTAATCTAGTGCTGTTAATCAAATTTGGAAGTCTTCTCCACAGCCTCAGGTCAAATGCAGTGCTCTCTAGCGAGTCTGTGCCTTTAAGCACAGAAAGTTTAAAATTCTCTGCATCCAGGATTCCAACAAGGGATGAGCACAGCTGCTGCTCCTCTAGTTCGCAAAGTCCTTAGCACAGCTGAATGCATTCATGATCCTGCCTCTCACGTGGTCTTTGTTCTGACAGAGCCCCTAAAATGTGTATATAGCTACTCCACTAGCTAATCAGGTAGATGTGCTTGGATAGCAAAGAAAGGCATTTCCACCACCAAAAAAAAAAAAAAAAAAAAAAAAAAAAAAAAAATTCATTTTAGTGTCATCTTTCTCAGCACAGTTCTTCTCGATAGAATTGGAGGGCAGATTCAGTACAGTAGGTGCCTTTCTACTGCAAGGAGATTTTATAGTACCCTTCATCTTAAGGATGAGATAAATACAAACCTTCCTGGTGGGTAAGTATATGGAACTAACATGTAGTCTAACAAACTGGAGCATATGCTCAGCATAGTTGCCTCACACAACTGTAAGGAGCTTAATTTATGCCCACTAAGGTTTTTAGATTCCAGCAGAATATGTTGGAAATAACTTACAAGAGCTACCAAGCAGCTGTAGTTGGGTTGAACATGAAGCTGTATGAATTAATAATGGACTTAATGATCACATATGAAAACTAAGTCTGTTTTGGACAAGAAGTTTATGAAACCTTGTTCAGCTTCTCATACTGCTACCTGCATTGCCTTTGAAAAATGTTACTGGTATGAAATAGAGTTGCAGATATGAGAATATCCTTTTTGAGTTTCACAGATATTTTTCTTAGAATATTTGCAGTGCTTGTGCGGTTTCTCTACTGCCCCATTGTGTGCGTTTTCAATGATGAAATTTTCATCTTCCTTCTGCCATGCTACCTTAGTGATCATAATTCATGACTGTCTTTGTTTGCTCAGCTATAAATCTGCTATATCATTGAGTCTTGACAAATAGAGCTAAAGATGAGTTGCATCAAAGCATACATATTAGCCACCTGTCAGTAGCTGTTTTAAAGGTAAGTAAAAACCTTAAACCTTCATAGTTTTAACAAGTTGTATTCTTGCGTATTCTTAGCACAAGAAAGGCATGAAATATTTTAAATTCATTTATTTGTCATGTAATTTATGACTAGGAGGATGTATTGAAGCAAATTGCTGAAAGTACTGAGAACGTGAATCAGAATAAGGCACCCACAAATCATGTAGGCAATGATGCAATTTTAGAGTACCTTGGCAGTGGAGCTTTTGGAAGTGTATATAAGGCCAACCTTTCTTTTGCTATTATTTTACAGACTTGAGGAGAAGCTTCATGGAGAGGGTCTAATACCTGTTCTAGGCACAACTGTCTTTTGAATTTTAGTTGGAAAATGTAGGTGCAAAAAGACCTTTGTGGATCTGAGCTTGTTGTTAGTGTTTGCTGTGATTTTGTTTGTTCTATGTTGTACTTTTATGATTGACCAGAGTATCTCTTAGGTTTTCTACCTTATTTTCTCTTAATTCCTTTCCACTAGCAGCATTTGTCTATTGCAAAGGCTAATCAATCTATGTAAAACCACAAAAATTCAAGCATTTTTCATCTGAAAGGCAACACTGGGCACAGATAATATTGCTTCAAATACTGTGCAAGTTCAGAAGTGTACTGCTAACCTGTACTGTTGGATTGTAGTTCTTCTACTAATCACATCATACACAAAAAAAAGCAATGATTACATATTCTGTGAGAAAATTTTGGACTCTGATAACTAATCTGGTAGCCATAATACCATTCTTCCTGTTCCCATCCTATATTTATTGTGCAAAGCTTTACTTTGGTTATAGGTTAGAAAGCATAATGGACAACATCTCCTGGCAATGAAAGAAGTCAATTTACACAATCCAGCATTTGGAAAGGACAAAAATGACAGAGATAGCAGTGTCAAAAATATTGTCTCTGATTTAACCATCATCAAAGGGCAGGTGTTTCTCATTAACTCTAGTTTGATATGCTGGCATTCTGAATTACTGACTGTGAGTTCTCATGTGGGAAGCTGTCTGGTGGAAAAGGAGACCTGGGGATGCTGGTTGGCAGCTGCCTGAACATGAGCCAGCAGTGTGCCCAAGAAGGCCAAAGACATCCTGGCCTCTATCAGCACAGTGTGGCCAGCAGGACCAGGGCAGCGATTGTCCCCCTGTGCTCGGCACTGCTGAGGCAGGACCTTAAATCTTGTCTTTAGTTCTGAGCCTCTCTCTACAAGAGGGGCATTGAGGTTTTTGAGCTGGTCCAGAGAAGGGGAGTGGGGCTGGTGGAGGGTCTGGAGCACAAGTCCTATGAGCAGTGGTTGAGGGAGCTGGGCGTGTTTAGCCAGGAATAGTACCCTAGTTTCCTGCTGATTACTCTAGTAATGTGCAACATTTCTCTGCATTTGAGGTAACAGTGAAGGAAGGTGCACTGGAGCTCCTAGACAAGTTTGTGGAATCTTTGTTATACCCTTCCTTCCTACGTGTAGCTAAATATTTTAAGTACTGTGCCGTCAGTTAATTTATTCTTAGCATCTGCATTTCTTTCCTCATTGTAGCTTTATCATCCAAATGTTGTATGGTATTACAGAACCTTCTTGGAAAGTGAGTATAAATGCACAGAATTATCACATTGTACATTATGAAGAAATAGAAATATATAATAAAATGATTTACAGGTTGGCAGGAGCATGTCAAATTTGAGCAATAATCTTTCTTCCAGAGCTGCTACAAGTTCAAACAGGCCTATATTCCTTTAAAATTGAAAAAAAAAAAAGAGAAATAGTTTTTGTATTTGTTTATCTATTAGTAAAACTAGATGCTATGTAAACATGTAGCAAGCATCATTATTCTCCTCTAAAGATCCAAAGTGTACAATTGAAATGCTAAATAGGGAGAAAAGCTATGGTGAGTAGTAGAGTGAATGATACAGATTGCCAGCCATATTGTTTTAATTTTCTTTTCGATAAAGAATTACCTACTTACACCTGCCTGCTGAGTGATTATCAGGCAGTGGTTTCCTTATAGTTCCTGACATAAATTGAGGAAAAACAAAAAAGAGTGGAATGAGATTAAGGTGTATCTATCTGTACAAATACAATTTTTAAAGACTAAAAAATAACAGCTTTTAAAATACATTTTAACCTCAAATACTCTATTTAAAAATTATTTCTGTATAAATACAGTATTCTATTAATTTCTTTTATGAGACGACAGGTTGTATATAGTGATGGATCTCATGGAGGGGGTGCCATTGGGAGACCAGTTTCACTATTTCAAGGAAAAGCAACAACAGTTTACAGAAGACAGAATATGGCATTTATTTATCTGAGTAAGGGCCTCCATTCTTTTTGCCAAGATTTTCCTACCTGTAATTAGTAGCACCATGTTTTTAGGCTAAAAAATGATGAAGTAATGCTTATTATATCAATCACTAATACATAGCTGTGGATTTAATATGTCTTTATTTAGGTTGTAGTTAAGAATCTTTGTGAGGCTCTTTCTGTTTGTTTTTAAGCTTTGTCTAGCTCTTTGTTATTTGCATAAAGAGAAAAGGATTGTTCATTGAGATCTCACTGTGAACAATATCATGTTGGAGGATAAAGACAAAGCTACAATTATTAAGTAGAACTGCTTTGCTTGGAGACAATTTCTCAAGATGTACCTGAGAAGCATTTCTTTACTGAAACTCTGACAAGGTTTCAGATTCCTGCGTGTTGGTTATCATTCTTAGAAGCTAGGAAATTATTGCATTATTATACTGTTGTGTGAAATCATTGAATCACAGAATGTACTGGATTGAAAAGGATCTTAAATATAATCTATTTTCAACACTCCCCCTGCAGGGGTGCCTTTCTCTAGACCAGGTTCCTCACAGTCTCATCCCTCTTGACCTTAAACACTCCCAGGGATGGATGACCTGTTCCAGTACCTCACCACCCTCACAGTAAAGATTTTTTTCCTAATATCTTATCTAAACCTACCCTTTTCCACTTTGAAACCATTGCCCCTTGTCCAGTCACTATGTGTTGTTGTTAAAAGTCCTTCTCCATCTTTTTCAGGGGCTCCTTTCAGGTACTGGAAAGCCACTATTAGGTCACGCTAGAGCCTTCTCTTCTCCAGGCTGAATAAACCAAATTCTCTCAGGCTCCCCCTAACAGGAGAGGTGCTCCATCCCTCTGATCATCTTGTTGGTAATCCTCTGGACTCACTCCAAGAGGTTGATGACCTTCCTGTGCTGGGACCCCAGAGCTGGATGTGGCACTCCAGGTGGAGTCTCACCAGAGGGAAGCAGAGGGGCAGAATCCCCTTCCTCACCCTGCTGCCCAGCTGCTTTGGACACAGCCCAGGAGCCATTTGGCTTTCTGTGCTGTGAGTGCCCATGGCTGGGTCATGTCCTCTCATCCACCAGCACCCCTGAGTCCTTCTCTTCAGGGCTGCTCTCCATCTGTTCATTCCCAGCCTCTGTTGGTACCAGGGGCTGCCCTGACCCAGGTGCAGCACCTTGCTCTTGGTCTTGTTAAAGTGAGTGAGATTCCCATGGGCCCATTTCTTGAGCTTGTCCAGGTCTCTCTGGATGGCATCCCATCCTCCAGGTGTGCCAACTGCACCCCTCAGCTTGGTGTCATCTGCAATTTATTTAGACTTATCCCTCCATTTATGTCATTAACGTATATATTAAATAACACTGGTATGGATCCCTGAGGGACACTATTTGTCACTGGTGTCCATTGGGACTTTGAGCCATTGATCACTGCCCTCTGGATGAAAGCATCCAATCAATTTCTTATCCATTTAGCAGTCCACTCATTAATTACTGTTTTGGGAAACCATGCCAAAGGCTTTTCAGAACTCTTGATGAATGACATTTGTTGTCCTTCCATTGTCTACTGATGTAGTCAGTCGCTCATAGAAGGTCACTATGGTCAGGAAGGACTTGTCCTTGTTGAAGCCATGCTGACCATCTCAAATCACCTCCCTCTCCTACATGAGCCTTAGCATAGGTTCTAGGAGGACCTGTTCCATGACCTTCCCAAGCATAGAAGTAAAATAATTGCTGATGCAAATATTGTGTCATCAGCCATGGCTATATTTTTTGCAGCTATGGATGGTAAATATGATAGAGATGATTTAGCCTTGAAATATTTAAACTATAGTTATGCTTCAAGGCCTGTTTTTATCTAAATTAGCAAGAAGATTGAAATAACTAGATTAGAGAACAAGTGCTAATGAACACATAAAATGTAACAGCTGTCTATTCCATTCCAATTCTGCCATGAAATTGCAGTGAGGTGCTTTTTGTATAAGTCTGTAGTAGTGAATATTCTTGAGTAATGCTTCTGTAATCACCACAGGGTGGAGGAAGGAACCTAGACAGATTCCAAGACAGACTTTGAAACCAATATGTGTGTCAGCAGTACAAAGCATGGCATAGTTTTAGTCTTTGAGCAAATTAACACAACCTGGTACACAGAGCAAGCCTTCCAGGAAATTCAGATCCCGTAGTTTTTAAAGTTCTCAAAGAACTACTGCATGTTTTCTTGCTGCTCATGACACTGAAGAAAACAAACAATTTGAATGCTGCAGAATTGTTGTGAGAAGTCTTTATGCAAAATTCCATCTCTCTTCTTTAAATATAACAGTAAACTGAAGACACACATGCACACCCATCCACAAAACACTCAGCTATAAATAGTTAGCAACTGTTGTTTCATAGTAAATATTTTTACCTCATGATCTACATATTTAAATTTATTCATTATGAAATTGTATGCGCTAAACCCCCTCGGATTCTTAGTAATGATGCAGTTTTGAAAGAATGTGATTTAATGGTGCAATTGTCCTTGAGTGATGAAAATAAATATTCAAAATATTATTTTAAAGTATCATATAATTGTATTTTATATCAACTACTGCCACTGAGGGGCACTCTTGTCTCAACAACCTTTCCTTATCCTTAGTCCATTCTAAATATGGAGAAGTCTAAATGTACTTTCAAGTATAAACTCAAAATTGCCCTTGAAAAGCATTTATATTTCTGTCAAAGATTTACAGGAGTTCAGGAAAATTGGAAGAACAGAAACTTATTGGATCATTTCTACAGCAAGTAGTTCAAAACTATTTCAGTATTTAAACAAACACTCACTTTATTTAGTCCTACAGCTACTACACGTGTAGTACCTAGTGAATTTTTGGGGAGAGCTGAATAACTTTTATCTGTTGTTTCTGAATTTTATTAAGCCTTGCTTTTTTACGACCTTAATGAAATTAAGATGAATTTACTTTCTCTCTGATGATGGTTAATACGTACTATATAGATGCATGCTGTGGTATTGTTGTAACTCAAACAGTCTGTGTATGCCAAAGACTGGAGCATTTGTGATCTTAATGATTACGTCTCACCATAGCTGAGGATAAATGTACTGTCCATTTAGTACATTTCAAGTGCTCTTGGTGAAAGTTTGTCCTGCTTTTGTTTGGGATAGAGTTAATTCTCTTTCTTGTAGCTGGTACAGTGCTGTGTTTTGAATTTAGGATGACAGTAATGTTGATAACGCGGAGGTTTTAGTTGTTGCTGAGGACTGTATACTCTAAATCAAGGACTTTTCAGTTTTCCATGCTCTGCCAGCAAGGAGCTGCACAATGAGCTGGGGCCGGGGAGTACATCCAGAATGGCTGCCTGGAACTAGCCCAAGGAATATTCCATACCATTGGGGTAATTTGGCCAGGAGGTGCCAATGGCCACTTGTGGACTGGCTGGGCATCTTTCAGCAGGTGATAAGCAACTGCAGTGAGCGTCATTTGTTTTTCTTGAGTTTTATTCTGCCCCACATTCTTTTAATTACAATTGCTACTAATAATAGCAATTATATGTATATAATTTTATGTTATATAAATTATAATACTATAATACTGAAATATTATAATATTTTATTTTGTTTCAGTCGTCAAACTGTTTTTACATTGACCCATGAGTTTTATTTCCTTTTTTTGTGATTCTTGTTCCCAGTGGGGAAGGTGAGAAATTGAATGTGTGGTACTTGGTTGTTGGCTGGGGCTAAACCATGACAAAGTTACAACAAAATGTCAGATGAATGTGAAGCATATGCTAAAATGCTGAGAAATCTCTGAATTTAATTTTTCCTGTCAGCTTTTTCAAGAGAGAAGGTCTGCTCTAAGATCTAGTAAAAACGTTGCTTCTGTGTTTACAAGCTGCATGCTCATCCAAAATAGAGAGAATTCAATTTTCTGGAGTCTTTCAAATCTGAAAAGTGACCCAAACTTGCCTTGATCTTACTAGAGTAGTAAACTGCCTGTGAAGCAGTGTTGTGTGACTGTAAGTGGGATATGGCTGAAATTATTTTGCTTTATAAAAGAATCTTATAATACTGCTCTATTTTCTTTTCCTCAATCAGTCCTTCTGGAAATAGTAACTCTTGTTAATCTCTTGCTAAAAGAATCTGCAGGCTGACAGTATAATAGAGGCAAATAATTTGTCTGTAACTAATGTTCTTAAAAATATTGTCTTTAGAGATGTGCCTTTGTTTCAGACTCTTATGGTGTATTTTGATTAAAAAAAAACTAGTGAAGTGATCAATATAATGGAGAAAGACCTTTTAGAGATTCAGACTTTAATTCTGCAACAGCCACACCAATGAACTGCTTTAAGAAAATTCTTGGACTCACAGATAGGCATTTTGTACCTTCTATATGAGAATGGGAACACTCATATTCCAAATCCCTTGAAGATCTCTTACACAGTTTCTTCTTTTATGTTGGTTGAAAAGGATAGGAGTGCATAGAGTGGGAGACACTCCCACCTTGCTGTCAGAGTGGAAAACAATAAACCTGCTAAATAATTATGCTTATTTGTCCTGAATTCATGGAGAAATGTTCTACAGGTGGCACTTGTAGAACAATTCCAGCAGAACTTGGTAGGCAGGGACTTATGGTGAAAGAAAACAAGAATTCATACAAAGAAATCTGCAGCTGGCCTGGCACAATGCAAGATTAAATTTGAGGGACCTATTCTAGGGATGGACTCTGAATATCTTGTGTATAGGTCTTATTGAAAAAGAAACACCTGAGATAATACCTCACTCTCTGATAAGACCTTACCTGAAGTACTGTGTCCAGCTCTTGGGTCCTCAGCACAAGAAGGTCATGGACCTGTTGGAGTCAATCCAGAGGAAGGTTATGAAGAGGATTGTGATGGTTTTGCGTGGGAGATCTGAAACTGACGAACCAGAACCACTGCACTGATTGGAGGAGTGGAGCACCTCCCCTATGAGGAAAGGTTGGAAGCGTTGAGATTGTTCAGCCTGGAGAAAAAAAAGCTCTGGGGAGACCTTAGTGCGCCTTTCTGAACATAAAGGGGACTATAAGAGAGCTGGAGAAGGACTTTTTACAAGGGCCTGTAGTTGCAGGACAAGGGGGTATGGCTTCAAACTGAAGAGAGTAGACTTAGATTAAATATGAGGAAGAAATTATTTATGGGGGCAGGGGGGTGGTGGGGCTCTGGAATCAGAGAAGTTCTGGATGCCTTGTCCCTAGAAGTATTCAAGGTCAAGTTAGATGGGTCTCTGAGCAGCCTGGTGTAGTGAAAGATGTCCTAGCCCATGGCAGGGAGCTTGGAACTAGATAATGTTAACATCCCTTCCTACCCAAGCCATTCTACAATAATATTCTGAAGAATTTTTGAATATTTATAGTCACACTGTGTTTTCTTTTTCTTAAGTAATATGTGTGGTTAGATACTTTCTTTATTCAGATCTTTCTTTATTGTTTTGTTTTTGAACTTATGCAAGACAGAAATGAAAGGTCTAAGCCCAGGAGGTGCTTCATTCTAATGTGAAAATGGTATAACTTTTTTGTATTTCCCAGGACATCTTTTACACATGTCAATTAAACTTGAATTATCCTAATCTTTTTCAGGCTCTATAAAGTTGTGTGTTGTTGCAAATGTAAACAGACATTTACAATCTGATCCCAGCCTGCTGTTTCTGACTGTAGAGAACTTTAAGCGTGTTGTTGTTTTGTAGTCTCTAGAAGTGCCCACCTTACTCCTTTTCTGTTTTATTTTTGACATAAATTTCATAGGAAGGGGTCCATAACTGCCATCTCTTATTCTGGTACAGCATTTAATCATAATTGATTGAACTACCAATGCTATGAAAATATAAATATTAAATCATGCCAACCTGCAATTTTGTAAGACATCTCAGTCTAAATTGATAGAAAAGTACAACCAAAACTGTACATCTCTGGTCAGACTGAAAGTCTCATGTATTGTGTCAGACACACACAAAAAAGGTGGAATTTTAGGTGCAGCCTGGTTGAAAGTTGTTTTGTTATAGGGTTTTTGAGATTGATTGAGCCAATATTATCAGTGGCTTTCCTTTTAATCTGCCCAGCCTTTTTATATAAGACATTGAGAAGTTACAGTTCTAAATTGAAAATGTGTATCTGCTTTTATTGCAGCTATATTTTACTGCAGCTGTATTTTGGTTCTAGCACAGTGTATTTCTGTCTATACTCCATAGCTGCATCTGTTTGTAGGACAAAACAGAAGACTCTGTAGATCATCACTTTTCCTCAGTGTCATTTAGCTGCAGAAAGGTTTGCACCTTGATGGTCAGAGGGCTGTGTGGAATCACTTTCAGACACCTTTCAGAGCTGATATCAAGGAGAATTGTGAAGGGTACCCTACTCTGTTTTAGGAAGCATGTTCTGTTTAATGTTTAGTTCACATGATAAAATAGCAGTTGGAAAGATCTGTATGGGTCTGAACCTAGGATTATATAGCAGCAGAATGCTTGTTTTGAGACAACTCACCTGTTGGATAAACTTCTAATCATAGCAGGCAGCCATGGAGTGTTAGAATGGTTACATGAATGTGACTTGGAAAGTTCAAAGAGTTGCTGGGTGCTGGAAGAAAGCTCCCTGTTAGTTGTATAATTCAGAATATTTCCTGGAGTGCCTTGTATAAAACACTTACTGGCTCTGGATTGTGTTCCATGCCCAGAGAAGCAGTGGCCATGAGATAAAGTGGACATAATCAGTGTCTGTTGTATGTTAGTCACTGCTCAGATTCTCTTGAATCAGTCAGTGCTATTTTTTTAGCAGATTACACGGCTCATTTAACTAATATTCATAATCAGGATTGCTACCCTTCACACTGAGGTTCAAGGAAGTCCTTGTAGTACTTTATTTTTAAAGTTATTTTCATAATAGGCTGAGTGGAATCTTCTACTTTTTTATATTCATGTTGTAAATCAAACATTCTGGAAATCATTGGTGGATTAATACCATGATCACATCTCTCCACAAATCTCAGTTCTAGATGTGGATCAGTGCTTAGGTTCCTAGTGCAGGAGTTACAAGCTTCACAAATCTAGCAGTAGATTGTTTACAAAGCATTAATAAAAGCACACAGAAAGAAGAATGATAGAATAGCTAAAAGATTTATTTGGGAATGAGAAGTTAATTCTGTTCACATTCTACTAATGGGTAAAAGTAGAATAAGTATGTACTGTTGTTGATTAAATTGCAAATTATCTTGATTTTAGCATCTGTTTTTATAGAAAATGAAGTTATAATTTTATACTCCAAATCGCTGTACCTCAGTAAGTTGCTTACAAATCTGCTTGATAAAAATACCAAACTTGCTGAAGAGAAGCAAAGAGTTTTTCTCTCATCCTGAACCCTTCAGGGTAGAAGAAGAAACTGTTCAGTGGTTACACAGTGAAAATCTGATGTGAGCAGGTCTGAAGTCCACAGATGGGGTAGATTTGATGTTCTTTTTTGCTCTGCTTTTGGAGAGCAAAAAAGAACATCAAATCTATTTTGTATTTGATTTTAGGAGAAATTAATGGCATTTTCAAATGGGGTTCAGATATAAATTAAGGCTAGAAACTTGCAGATATTAAATCAGAGTTGTTAAGTTGTATCTGGATAATTTTTGTCTTGTTTATATTGCAGAAGATAAATTTAGGTGAGAATTTTGGGAAATAAAACAGCAAATGAAAATCCAGATTCTCTTAATAAAAAGAGTAATAAAAAACACATTGCAGGTATCGAAAATGCTCATTGGAAGAGACTGCTAAGATTTGGAAAGTTTTTGTAATTTGGCCATCATGAAAACTGCAGAGACCATTAAGTAGGAGATTAAGATACTAGCTAAGTAAACCTAGTCCTATTTTCATAGTTCTGTCTTTCCTTCATGCCCTCTTCCACAGATTTTTAATCTTTTTTGAAACCACCTTGCTTCATTATGACTTATTCTGCAACTCTAAACATAGTGTAAACAAGTGAAAAAAGTAAAGAGTGTGATCAGAATCCAAAGGATTATGACTACATCATATTATTTTAACTTTTCTTCCTGTTTGAGGATTGTCTTGTATAGTTGTTTGACTATTTTTAAACAAATTTTAATTTTTTAAAATAAAACTAATTAATAGGGGTCACCTTCCTATTTTGTCATACCTTCATTTAATGATACATGAGACAGGCCTGTCACAGTTCTTAGAAGTTATTTTATTTGTTTGTTAGTCATTGTAGGAACTTTTGGCATCACATACCAAATAATCATGGAATATTAAAAGTTTCAGACCAATTTATTTATTAAGACAAATGCTTAAATAAATTAAAAGAAGCAATGTCACTAGTTTGATGTAGTTCAACAGTTGGCAGTTCTTTTTCATTTGAATCTCTATTATAGGCTTGAAAAAGCTAAGAAAAAAAAATTTATGCTTAATGTAAAGCAGATTGTCCTGGGCTTTACATTCCTTAGCTCTGGCAGCACCAGTTTTATGTAGGAGTTTCTTGCTGGTATCAACAAAGTTTAGCTGATTTTGGAAAAAGTAATTGCCACTGAAAGGGTTTTATCCCTCCATTTCTGAGGACTTGAGCTTAAAATGAAGAGAATATACTTACTCCATCTGGCTGATTTTCCCCTTGCTTTCTTTCTTTTCTCCATAATCACTCATGTTGTATTAAAATAAACTACTTTTTTTTTCAGAACTGAGATGTTCAGCTGCCTTCTTTCTTTTACTAAATCTCTCAACGGGAACTGAATTTATGAATTGTTGTAGTGTCTCAATACTCTTCCTTCATCAACTATTATTTGAAGAATTCTGAAGGAAGGAATTTAGAATGATTCAGCCCAATTAATACAGGGAAGTATCAACACTGCAAAAAACCCTGGTCCTCTGGGGATTGATATTTCTTGTAGTGAGCTGCCTGAGGACTGCCTTAACTCAAGGGAAAAGGGAGGCTTCTTGGTTATCCTGTTAATTTAGCATTCTTTCTACTTACATTTTCCAAGCACTGCAGAGCTAGTCCTTCTTTGGACATTTTGTTCAAAGAAAAATGATCTGTGGCTTGAGCGTCTAGATTTGGCTTACTTATCAAGGGCCCTTTCTGAATTCAAGAACTGCTCCTTTTCAGACCCTGAAGGCTTGCACTGAGCAAGAACCAAGAGAAACTAATTTTTCTTACCTGTATTTCTTCTCATCTCCAGCTTCTTTTGATGGGTAGTAACATTTTGAAATAAAATTTTTATGAATTGTGTCAGAGTGAAAGCAATTGGAATAGGCATGCTATGGGCTGTGTCCAAGTAGAACAGAAGTTCTTAGAATATTTTAAACATTGTGATTTGTTACTTACAACAAAAATCTTCTTCTGAAGTAGCATTGCAATACAAAAGTTATTAACAGGATTTATGAAGTACAATAATGTTTTCTGCTCTTTGTGCTTGGACTTAATGAAGTATGATGTATCTAACTGCATTGTTGTGTGGAGGCAGCAGTAGAATATTGAATTGGAAAAAATAAACTTGAACTGTTTGCATGGAACTTTGATTAAAAATATAATCTCTAAAGAGTGTGTGTGCCATTTTGTCAAAGACTACCTGATAATTACACAAGGCACTTTATTAACATAATTACATGATCATCTAAATCTACAGCTTTTTTCACAAGCTAAGATTCACTATTATTTCTTACCAAATTTCATTTTTGAACATGAACTACCAAGCTATTAGACCCCCCCCGCCCCCATGCTCCTTTGAAATTAAATTTCTTGGAAAGTCCACCCTTCCCAATCGTCATAATTTCAAGGAAAGAAAACTAATAACCATAGATTTAGATTTTTAGAGATTAATATGAGATCACTGCTTATTAGATACATAGCATTGTCATACAGTTTATTGAAATATGTTAATAGAAACCTGAAACTGGTCATATAGTTTACACTGAAACCATCAGAAGTGTGCTTATGCTATTTTTAAAGCAGATAGGCCTAATTCAAGTGTAAGTTGCTGGTGAATGTGGAGATAAAAAGATACTATAGTCCAGTTCTGTGAAAAGTAAAAGATAAAAAATCCCAAACCTCCCTTCCACCCTCCCCCAGCTTTTCAGCTGTTGTGACTGAGCACTGATTGTCATCAATCAGTGGAGGTGGTGGCTATTGAGATGTCAATCTTTTTCTTTCTTTGTTTTTATTATTGTAGCTGACTTTGGTCTTGCGAAGTGAAGGCAAGAAATCTGCAAACTTGCATAAGTAGTGGTATCCTATAATATAGGTAATCCTATAGGTATTTATATACATATATATAAATAGGTATATCTATCTATCTATCTAGGTGTTTATATATTACCTATAGGTAATCCTATTATCCTATAATAATAGGTAATCCTATATTTGTGGTAAGTACTCCTGCATGTAACTTTTAGTTCAGTGATTTCCTTCTTCATGGTTACTCTTGGAGCAGACAGGGAAGTTGCAATGGAATTAGGAACAAGGTGCAAGTCACTAGCTACTCTGCAATAGTTGGTTGCCTCCCTATTTTGATGTTGCCTGTTCTTAACACTTGGTGGTTACTGTGGGTTAAGTTGGTGCAAAAATGAACGAGCTGCAGTAATGTAGTAACTTATTCATCTATATATAGAATACCCTTATAGATAAGGAAATGTGTGTTTAAATTATAAAAAGGTGTATGTAAACAGTATCAATTACCACCACCACATGTGAAGGCCTTACACCTGTGAGAATGTTTGGCCTGCAGGCTGTGATAACTGATTAAAAGGTCCAAGCCATGAGGGGAGCTGCTGGTTGTTCCTCTGAATTAAGAGTCAAGAGCTCAGGCATTTGGCAGTTGAACATAATTCATTTTGCCATTTTTGAAATTGTTGCTTGTGAATTCCTAGTGCCAGAATGATAATGATTGAAACTTATTCCCTAGAAATCCCTAAATCCTAAAATGGCTTCAAGAGTGAGACCTTGTAATATGTTAAATATTCAAGTCACATACCTTGGAAGACATGCTTATAGATCTTAGTGAGCAAAGGTAAGGGGATTGCAAGGCTGCCTTAATTGCTTATCCAAATATTCCTGAAGCATTGCACAATCTCTGAGTGACATTGGATCTGTGAGTGATAGTTGGGGTATATAAGGTGTAGTAAGAGTTTGGTGTAACTAGTTATGTACCATCTTTTTTTCAGCTTCTCTGAAATAATTTGTTTTGTTCACTTACAGCTGGGAAGAGAAACTGTTGATGAGAATTTATTCTGCTCTTTTAAACATCAGTTTAAAAATAGAGGTGTCAGAGGTGTCAAAACCATGCTGCCATGGCCCTCAGGCATACTGAATTGTAATTTTTCTTATCCCATCTACATTTATTTCTTCTTTTTCCTCTGTTAGATGCCTGATTTGTTTTCACTGATATCTTTTGGGTTTTTAATATTTTGCAGGAATTTTTTGTTTGAGAGTAGTGTTCTGTATATTTAAATACTTTTTAAAATATAATTTTTGCTTATACTATGTTTATTATTATTCTTATACCCTGTCTTTGTACATGGAAGTTCATATCAGAGCTAGAACTTTGGCAGATCTTTTTGTCCAGTTATTTGGATGCAGGATTGAGGATAAAATGTCCCTTACAGGTTGCAGTCTCTCAAGTGGTCTTTTGGGACATTACTTGTCAGTTCTACTCCACAGGCAAATCATGGAAGCAGTGATCCTTGTCTGTCTGCAGTCAGGAAAGAGAACAAGGATAGAGTACAGATGTCTTTGTATTTAAAATATATGCTTGAGTAATATTTAAAATGACAGGCTAAGATATTAGTCCTTCCAATGTCATAATAATTTAAGAGTGCTAAAGAGGCTTTGCAAACAGCGCCATGTACTGGAGGCCACCTTCAAGGTGCTTGGTTAGTTCTGGGTGTGACAGTGGGCTTTTTGAAATGGAAGCCTGTTCACAAGGAATAAGATGAACTGACAGAGTATTTTAGCACAAGTCTTGAAGGAGAAATCAGACCCTATAGATTTAAGCAGTGCTTGAACTAGACTTTTTAATGGTGCTTTTTTGTATGATTTAAGTAGATGTTAAAGGCTATTAAGAAAATAAAAAAGTGCCTACCTATCAATGCACAAAAAAACCCGCCAAACCAAAAAGAGAAAGAGAAATGTGAGGTTGTTTTCATCTTAGAATGGCAGAAATAGCTTTCTTCTGAATTGACAGGTAATAGTTTTGAGTAGTTTGAGATGCAACCCACCCTTCTTTGAGCAGACAATACAGTGCAGAAACAAGACAATAAATATCAAAAGTAGCATTTGATGCTTATTGATTAAATTTGACTAAGCAATATTATGCAAAATGGTTCAGATAAAAACACATCACTGTATGTACCAAACATGATTGTATTTGGGCTTGGCTGAATCAATTTGGTAATGCAATTTTTTGAACCTTGTGTCATCATAAAATAACTGCAGACACTGTTTTTTGTTTAGAGAGGGGCTTATATAATTATGCTTTGTAATTGTGATGGTTTTTAATTTTACTTCATACTAGGTTGCATTCTGCTATCACACTAATTAAATTCCTTTTAATTGGTTATCTCCCTGAACTAAAAAATCCAGCAATGTGTGTGTTTAGAATACCAAATGTATTAAACGGATGTGTTTACACTTAATACATTAAAAGTTGAGGAAAAGACTGCTTTAGGGAATTGGTAATGAATCCTGAAGTCTTTTCCCAGCTCATAAGTCACTAGAAACAATCTGCTCCAAGTTAGTGGTGACAGTCTTTATTATGGTGCTGTCTTAAAGGCCTTCCCAGAAGAGACACAGCAATTGTCCATGGTTATAGAGAATGATGTTTCCTTTCAATTATACCTTCCATTTCTTTGTTTCAAAAAAAGGATTGTGATTTAGGAAGAGAGGATATATTGCCAGCAGATCAAGAGATGTATATAATTGTATATGTATAGAGACAATTTAGATGAACTCTGGGAAATTAACTTAATTTTGAGATTGGATGGAATCGAGAGTCCCATTATAATTGCTTGAGAACTTGACTGATCTTTAAAAGCTGTTGAGAAACTATGGAGCAGATCCCTTAGGTGTCATTAAGAAGCAGGCAAGAAAGTTCTACCTTAGTTGGTGAGCTAACATGATCTTTCTGAAACAAAATTGTTTTCAAATGTTAGAAAACTGATGCACAGAACAATGTTGTTTATTTAGCTTTTTGTGCCAGTGTTGGGGAGTTTTCTTGCTCTGGTATTTTGAGGAAACTCCCATTTCAGTGGTAATTGGAGATATTATTTTTACTCCCTCATCTTCTCTGCTGTGGAGGAGAAAATATTCCTTGATCTTCATTTATGTTTATGGACTACACACTGGGTCTGTGGACTGTATTATGTTAACCAGATTTCTTTTCTAGTACTGGTCACTGCTTCTCTTTATAACCATATCTTGTGAGAGCAATGCATAAATCAATAGTCTGGTATGATTTCTCATGAAGAGACCTGCAGTAGCTGCATTGCTTATTATGGTGGCATAATATTTTCACTTAAAGCATTTTTGTTTTGGGAAAGGTAATTTAAGATGAGGGAGTGTGTTGTATTTTCAGAAATACTTTATTTTTAGCCTTTATGATGCTATATGGTCAAACTGATTATGAGATTTCCCAGCAGTACTTTATTCCTCCAAAAACAGAATCTGAAATATTTCACTAATTTCAAGCATGTTTGAGTGTTTAGCTTCTTTCAATGTTTGTGAAAATTTGGTGATGGATATCAAATAGTGAAACAATTCAGTATATGCTGTTGTGTGACAGCAGTTTGGTATGTTTAGACAATCCAGAGAATAGGAAACTGAAGGTATTGTGTAATGGTGAGAGGAAACAGAAAACTAGTGGAAAATTGGTCTTGTGCTAGTTTTACCATTCATGGAACAGATGGCTCCTGGAGGGGATTTGTTGATTTGAATAGAAAGGTAACAAAAGTTAAATAATCCTTTCAGTACATTGTCTCGGTCTCTCTGCGAGCCTCTCAGGAACCCTGGGCCAGTCCCGAGTCAGCAGACACCGGGGAGGGCAACCCCGACACGGCCGACAGCGGGGAGACACTGTCTGTGTGTGCCCCGAGGGTGCTGAGGGCACCTGGGCTGGCAGGGAGACACTGTCTGTGTGTGCCCCGAGGGTGCTGAGGGCACCTGGGCTGGGGGGAGACACTGTCTGTGTGTGCCCCGAGGGTGCTGAGGGCACCTGGGCTGGCAGGGAGACACTGTCTGTGTGTGCCCCGAGGGTGCTGAGGGCACCTGGGCTGGGGGGAGACACTGTCTGTGTGTGCCCCGAGGGTGCTGAGGGCACCTGGGCTGGCAGGGAGACACTCTCTGTGTGTGCCCCGAGGGTGCTGAGGGCACCTGGGCTGGCAGGGAGACACTGTCTGTGTGTGCCCCGAGGGTGCTGAGGGCACCTGGGCTGGCAGGGAGACACTGTCTGTGTGTGCCCCGAGGGTGCTGAGGGCACCTGGGCTGGCAGGGAGACACTCTCTGTGCCCCAAGGGTGCTGAGGGCACTCAGGCTGGTTGCCTTCGCTGCAGCAGAGACAGCAGAGACATCGGTAGAAGAGAAAGGGCCGACTCTTAGCAGGGGTTAATCCAAGGTTTTATTAGGAGTCCCGAAGGAGCTCCTGCACCTCAGGGGGCCTCCTGCCGAGAGCCCCGGGAGATGTCCCAAGGTCACATTGAAAGGGAGGTGGAAACCAAAAGTAGATAACATTTTACCAATCAATGAGTGACCCTAAGGGATGGATGCTGGGGGATAGACATATAGGACAGCGTACGGGGCAAGGCTTGGGGGGCTGACCCCTGGCCTCTGGCTAATCACTCGACGACCTGGACCGAAACTTCTGGATGGAGGGATGGGATGCTGAGTGATTGACAGAGAGCCAGGGTGGGGGTTTGGGGATGATCTCATCCCGGGAGAGGGATAACACAGGTAAAGGGAGGGGGGTACAGTCTGGGATAAACCATTTGGGAAAAATATGGGAATACAAAACAAAACTACTTCAAAGTATTACAAAATATAAAAACGCACTACAACAGTACATCAATACTGATGTTTTTACCAGAGGATCTTCTGAAAGTTGTTTAATACAAGTGTTCACTCTGAGAATGAAAGATAGCAATGAAATACAATTGTGAAAATTTGGTTGTAGTGTAGACATAAGTTTATAATACTGTGTATCAGCAAAAAGTGCAGTCC